AAGCCTTTTTGGCAGCTCACAAGCAGACATCTCATTCTTGGTCTTGTTTTAACATTGCAGCCAGTTCTTTTCTCTTTTTTAGCACATTAATTTGCTAATAAGGATGTTCTTAAGTGAACTTTTTTTCATGTACTGCAAAGACTCCTCACCATCATTTGAGTCCCAGCAGCAGCAACTCTGAGCTGGGGTTCTGACTCTACTTACACAAACCAAATACCCGTTTTGAAACATTTTCTGTGGCTTGTTTTAGCTGTTACCTTGGGAATACATCCCGTTTTAGCTCAGGAACTTGTGACCTTTGAGTGCCTTTTATGTGGAACACCAACCTCACACCAGTTCACAAGGTCACCAAGGCAGAGCTGGGAACAAGGGATTCCTCTCCAGTTGGTTTGATGAGTCGTGCCATGGCACACTCTCTTTGCTCTTTGTTGGGTTTTATGTTTGTCTCTTGCAATTTTGAATTCTTACAACGGGATTTTTGGATTTCAAGTGGGAATTTTTGCCTCTTTAGCCTATTTTTTTAATGTCAGAAAAAATATAAAACCATTTGTACTACATAACAAGGATAAAAATGTGTTGGGCAAGATGGAAAAACATGACAACTTGTCAATAAATGATTTCAAGTGGAATACTGCCCTTGCCTGTCCTTTCCTGCTGGGAATAGCTTTTTGTGTTGGATTCAGCCCGTGGATTCAGCACCTTTGTGTGATCTTGTGTCACGTGGCTTTGGCAGCAGGGCAGAAGCATTTTAAGGTGTTCTACAGCATCACATTTATTGTATTTAGGTGCTTAACTCTGGCTCTAACCAGAAATACCAACTCTTTGAAGCCATTGTGGGTTCAGTGGAAGGCAACAGGGGCCGCTGGTTGATGGCAGAGGGGACCAGGGACATCAGCCCCAGGTTGTTCTTAATACTGGGGTGAAGTCTGAGCTCTGCAGGGCTTTGCACCCCCCCTTCAGGGCCTGATCCCCCCTAAATCCCAGGGTCCTCCTGGGCAGGGGGTGCTGTGCTGGGGACCCACCACCCTCCGGTGTGATGAGGTCATGAGACTGTAGGAGCAGGAAACTCATCTTGGCAGCCTTTTCCAGACACAAAGGACCCCTTCCCTTGGTCCCTGGGGGTCCGGGGGGGCTCCCTGTGCCCTCCCCTTGACCCCCTGGCTGTGGGGGGACTATCAGTGCAAGGAAACACCCCCTTCCCAGCTCCCTCCCCCTTCCCCGGGGCTGGGATCGGGGATTTGGGATGGAGTGTGGGCAGGGGCTCATCCTCAGAGGTTTGCAGGGAGGGGAGCACAGAAACCAAAGCCCAGGCAGTTGCCCCGCAGGGGGGGTGGTTGTTTTTCTCTCTTTATTGTCACCGACAAGGAGCAGCAGTGGTGGCCAGGGGAGCCGGGCAGCACAAACACCACACTCGGGGGAAACGGTATGAAAAGTACAAAAATAAGGAAGCCTATATATAATATCATTGCAGTCAATTGCTAAAAATAAATATTGTAAACACGGAAGAACAACATCAGGTGAATCTACAGCACTCGTTTCTGCAGCCACACAGTCTTTGGCTTTTATGACTCCCCTGCCCGCGCGGAGCCAGCGCCCACATCCAGATGCATTTTCTTTGCTTCAGGCCAGGAGGGTTCCAGGCTGCTCAGGGATGTCACAAAGCAAAGGATTTTCCCTCTCTCCAGGTTTCCCCTGTGACCAGGAATTGCCTCTTTTTTTTTTTTTACCAGAGCAAGCCAATGATGTGCCAAGAGCAGGTGTTTTCCTGGCCTGCTGGAGGGGAGGGGGCTGAGGTGGGGAGGGGGCTCAGGGCTCCCCCATCCCACTTTATTTTGTTGTTATCTTGTATCATCACCCTTGCAGGGTGGTTGTTGCCACCGTTTTACACCTCTCCCCTCCCTTGCACTTGGACCTTTCACCCCCTTTATCTCTCCGACAGCTGGACAGGTTTGGATTGTCTGATAAGGGAGAGTTATCTGGGGTCAAACTGCACCCGGGGCCAGAGGTCTGTGCCCACAGATACCAACTGTACACCCTGGGTGACAGAACATCAGCCTCTCCCTAAGCAGCCTTGGACTTCAGGAGAGGAAGAGGCAAATTCCACTTGCCAGGCTCGATAATTTGCTGATTGTGTTTATATAGAACTCTGTATATGCTGATTGTGCTTATATATAACCCTATATATATTAAAACCCCAATAAAATCCTGGCCAAAGTACCAACAAGGAGAGAATTTCCAGGAAGGAAAGGCCAGAGACTGTTCCCTGCTGCCTGTGTGGCCAGAGAACGTGCTGGAACGCCAGGAGAGCAAAGAAAATGCATCCAAATGGGAACAACCAAGCAAAACAAGCCATCCTAAATCCACAAAGCAGCGCTTCTTCCTGGAGGGAAGACACAGACTGGGCAAGTCGGTCTGAGCAGTCTGTCCGTCTGTCCCTACAGATTTGATCTTCCCTTCATATCAGTAATTAGGATTTAACCTTCCCTTCTTCATTTTAACACATTCACAGAACATCCCGTGGCGTGAGGTCCCAGCCCTTACAGTCAGACCGTACAGAAAACACCCCCTGCTCGTCCCCTGGGGGACAAGGAGGAGCACAGAGCCCTGCAGGTTGTCCCACAGCCCCTCCTGCCAGCCCTGGGAGGGCTCCCAGGGGTCTTGTTCAAGTATTGCCCTAAACCGGGAACATTCCAGGCCCTGCGTCCTTCTGAGTCAAAGCAAAAGCTTTCTGGCCTTGAGGGACTCTCCTGGATATCCAGGTGGGTAACCAGGGATGTGTCCCTCTGAGCAAACCCACCCCCCTCCATGAGCTCAGGGCTGATCCTTCCTGCCCCTCCACAGCCCATCCTTCACCCCCCACGGGTGAGGGGGCCGTGGTGACCCTGCACCCAACTCAGCTCCCCCCCTTTCCCTCTCACCCTGTCAGCCACCTGCTCCAGTGATCAGAGCCTGAATCAAAAGCAGGGCTGCTCAGATCCCAATCTTTCCCATTCTGCCCCCAAAACTACTGTTGTGTAGAATTCCTCTCACTAACCCATGAAAACACTACAGATTTCAGGAGGGGAACGACTGGCTAAGAGTAAAAACAGCCACTAATGCAACTCTGCACAGTTCAGCAGCTAAAAACATCTCTGTTTCCATTTTTCAGTAGGCAAAATGCTGGTTTTCTGAGAAAAAAAGTCACACAAAACTGCTTGGTACCAGATTAAGAGGATTTCTGTATCATCCTTCAAGAATTTATTTGACACCTTCTAAAACTTCCACTAAACTTGGTTTCTTACATCATTTCTATACACAGGTTTTATTTGTCATAATTGCCACGAGGCTTATAAAAAAATAAGCATTTAAAATGCCCAAAAGAGTAATTTTGCTTTAAAATTGTGCTACTGAACTTGACCCCCAACACAGAAGAGAGACTTTTGGTAATGAGGTTACCCCAAGCAGTATAAAAATATACATAAAAATAGACAAAAACTCTATCCTCCAATCTGAAGGGCTGTTTGTGGGGATTATTAGTTATCATCTTTTTTTGTACATCACTGGAATTTCGTTATCTTCTGCTAAATATTTACAGGAAACCCCCCCCCCTACCCCTCTGTTGGCCTCTGCTCCCCAGGGGCAGAGACCTGCAGGGTTTAGTTCATCCAGACTTTTACCTTGGCAGAAATTACCCTCTGTGTTTCACCGTGGCACACGAATGATGTCCCTGGGGACACTCAGACAGCCCTGAGGGTGCCAGGTGGGAATGAAGCGACACCAGTTCCTGTCACCTCACCCAGGAGGTGAGCTTGGCTTCGCCGGTGCCTCACTGAGATCCCACGTGCACCATCCATGCTCAGCCAGGACCAGGAGGGTGACAGGAGCCCTGCAGAGCCCTGGGTTACCTCACCCATCCAGAGCACAGGCTGAGGAGGGCAGGGGACAAAATCAAACCTCTCCTGGGGTTAAACCCAGCCTAAACCCGGCAGGGCCCCGCTGCTCCCGCGCTTTCCCTTTAGTCCGGGTGATAAAAGTCAGAATGCCCAAACCTTTTGTACAGCCATCCTCGGGAATTTGGGTCTCTTCCTCCAGTTCTACCCCAAGAAAAATTTTAAATTAAAAAAAAAAAAAAAAAATTACACGAGAAAAAAAAAAAGAAAATAATTACTCTGTCCCGTTCCTCAATGACACGAGAAGGTGACGTTAAAACGAAGCGATACAACCCCCCCCCAGACTATGTACATGAAAAGACGTCAGATCTCTGAAAACATAAATATACAGTGTATAAATCCAGGTGCCACCTAAAGGCTGCAGACGCAGAACTATTTCACAGACACAAAGCAAACCGGACTCACCGCGCCGAGGGCAGGACACGGCCGCGACTCTTCGGGGGTCCCGGGGGGGATCCCGGCCCGTGGCAGCCCCTCGTGCCCACACATGCACCGGGGAGGGAAGGGGGGGAGCGGTGCCCAGGGGTGTAACACGACCCTACGTACATGCCACGCTCCTACGCTCTACTCAGGGTGTGGGTGAGAGGTCAGGAAATGGGATTAGACCCTGAGTCCCCAATTATTTCCAGGCACGTGCTCTGCTGGAGCAGGTGGAGGGGGCCCCCTCTGAGCCGGCCCCAGCAGGTTCTCTAGTATTGCTCACCAAGGGAGATACCTGGTACCTCCAGTGCAGCCTCGGCCCATGCCGGTGGAGTTCTGCACCCTGTGCTTTAAGAGTTACCATGACTTTCATGGAAATAATACAGCCTTGATCAGGGTAAAAGACTAGTGGAGGTCTTTAGCCCAATCTTAGAGGTTTGCTTCTACGGCACGGACACCTACGACTCCGACAAACATAAATAGGTACCATTAAAGTGACAATGCAGTGTCTTAATTATCTGAGCGTTATCCCTACGAGGGGAGGGTGGGTGGGTGGGAGCGGGAGGAGAGCTGGGGGGAGTGATGGGGGAGGCTGCGGGTGGGACAGCTCCAGCTCTGCCTGGGAATGCAGGGAGAAGCCAAAGGACACTGTGAGCTTTACTCGACAGGTGGTTTTATGGCATGCAAGGAAACTCCTACGACAACACTTTGTACAGAGCCCACGGCGCCTCCGGTCCCACCGCGGCGCCTCGGAGAGCAAGTAAAGCTACGAGTCTGCTTGGAGGGGACGGGGCTGGTGTGAGTGTGTGCACCGAGGGAGGGAGGGATGGGGGACCGGGGGGTGGGGGGAGGAAACGTCCTGTTCTGCTGAAACCAAGCTCGTGGGCAAAGCTCCTCCCCTCTACCGCTGGCCGGCCTCGCGGATGCGACAGGCCACGGCCGTGATGAGCGCGGCGCCTTTGCCGCTGCCGTCCTCCGACTGCAGGAAGGTCACTTCGCACTTGGGGGACAGCTCCTTCACTGTCTGGTGCATGACGGTGGAGAAGCTGCGGGGCACAGGCAGAGGTGCTGGTTTAACGGTCTGTGGGGGGAAGGGTGACAACCCCAAACCCCTTCATCCCCTTCCGCGGAGCCACGAAGAGCACTGCAGACCCCCAGGGCAGGGACAGGGGGTATAGGGGGGTGGAGGGGGGGATGGATGAGGGAATGGATGGATGAGGGGATGGATGGATGATGGATGGATGGATGGATGGATGGAGGGATGGATGAATGGATTAGGGAATGGATGGATGGATGGATGGATGAAGGAATGGATGGATGGAGGGATGGATGGATGCATGGATGCATGGATGGATGGATGGATGGATGGATGGATGGATGGATGGATAGATGGGTGCATGGATGGATGGATGTGGGTTTGGATGGATAGATAGATGGATAGATAGGTGGATGGGTGGATGGATGAATAGTTGGCAGGATGGACAGATGGATGGAGACAGAGCTGGCAGGGATGAGGCTTGGAAGGCCCAAGTCTCCATGCTTCAGTCCAAGCCCACAGTTACAACACAATCATGCTGTGCCTTCACTCAGACTTCTGAAGTCCCACTGAGCCCTGAGAGCACTAATAAACCTCAACAGCCCCAACCAACCTCACCTGAGGGGTCTGCAGAGCCTCCCTCTGCCCGTGGGCCCCTATTTAAGCTCAGTCCAGTGCTTTAGTCCCTGTCTGAGCCCCACTGTCCAGCAGCACCACCCTTCACCTCTGGCACGGCCACATTTTTGTGTGGCCATGGACCTTCATGGTCCAGCTCATGGCCTCCCCTCTTGGTTCAGACCTGTTCCGTTCCCCCAGACTGGAGTCCTGATTGAACCTGGTCACCACCAGCTCTGGTGGCACTGAGGGGAGGTCCCTGCTGTGTTACCTGTCCGGGTACCCCTCCTTTAGGGAGCAGTTGGCTCTTGCTGTGCCTCGAGTTCGGGTCAGCGAGCTGCTGGCAGCCCTTGCATCCCAAAACCCCCTCAAATCCTCTCCCGCTGCCCCCTGAACCTCCCCCCTCCCCCCTGAGCCACTCACTGTGGGTGCAGCTTGTAGAGCGTCCCGTCCACGCCCACCGTGACCTTGAGGAAGTCGAGGCCGCGGTTCTCGCGGATCTTGTCGACCACGGCGGCCATGCCGGCCCCGCAGAGCTGCGCCGCCCGCCGCGCCACCACCGTGCACACCTCCTTCACGATGATGCTGTCGTCGCACGTGGACTCCAGCCCCAGGTGCTGCAGGATGGAGCGCACCTGCAGCAGGGCCAGGCAATCGCTGCGGAGGGCACGGGGGCAGCGTTAGCACATGGGGTGGATGGGAAATGCGGCCTCCCCTTCCTGATCTGCATCCCACAGGGCCCAGAGGCTCGCAGCGGCTCTGCAGCCCCCTCCAACCTCAGCCTTCAGACCTGGGTGTGGCCCTGGTGTCACATCCTGAGCAGGGAGGCTATTCCAGGACAAAGCCTTGGAACTGGAGCGTGACACCCATGGAACCCACGGCCCCCTCTGCCCGGGGCAGAGGATAAAGAGGCATCTGTTCTGCCAGCCCCAGACAGTCTCCAAGTCTCTCCACTCCAGCGCTGCCAGAACCACGTGGATTCTGCTGATTTATCTGCATGGCACCACCCTGGGTCATCCTGGCTCCAGACCGAGCGTTGGGACTTCTCCCACCAGCCCTGGGAATGCTTCCCCCAAACTCTATTCCTGCTCTGACTGCCTGCTGGGGCTCACCTGCCTGCTGGGGCTCACCTCTCTATCTGGGACAGGAACTTGGTCTCAAAGATCCCTCTGGTCTTCAGCCTCTCCGAGATCCGTCCCCGGAAGAGCAGCCCTCGCTTGGTGAAGTCCATCAGGATGTTGCGGACGATCTCCCCCAGGTACATCCCACTGATCATCTTCTCAAACCTGGGAAGGACAGGATGAGGCTGGACATCAGGATGAGAAGGGGCACTGGGTCTGGGTGAGGATTCCAGCTCTGCCAGGTGCCTTTGGCACAACCCCCTGGAGCGAGCCCAGCGGCACAGCCCCCACCCCACGGGCAGGGACAAGGGACACATCGGTGCATCCCAAAGCATCATCCCCTGGACCCACCAAGGAGCAGAACTGTCCCTGGACCCCCAGCCCCAACAGGGGTCCCTTCCAGCCCCCCAAAGCCACCACCCACCTCTGCTTCCCGGGGTTGAGGGACAGCTCATCCACCGCCAAGTCGAACTCCGTCCGTATGTCATCCAAGCACCCGCTGTCTCCAAAGGCCCCCCACTCCATATTGACACACATCCTGCCCTCGTCCCCTTCCACCAGCTCCACGTTCCTCATCTCCTCCATGTAGCAGGCGTTGCTGCCCGTGCCTGTGGAGAGGAGCAGGGTAAGAGCCCTCAGACACCTCCTGCACCCCCAGGGCAGGGGTGGGACCGGGGCAGCCGAGCCCCGAAAGGCACTTGGGAGTCCTCACCGACTATCAGCCCAACTTCACAAAGGGGATCCTCGTACCCACAGGTCATCATGGTGCCAACTGTGTCATTCACCACTGCCACCACGTCCAGGTCAAATTCCTGCAGAGGGATGGGATTGCACGGGTTATTCCTGGAGGACTTGGAATTCCTGCCATGTCTGCTCCCATGGCTGGGAAAGGACTTGTCTGTGAGTGTGGGAGTCATAGAATCCCAGAAGGGAAGGGACTTTAAAGATCACCTCATCCCACCCCCTGCCATGGGCAGGGACTCCTTCCACTAGCTCAGGTTGCTCCAAGCCCCGTCCAACCTGGCCTTGGACACTTCCAGGGGTGCCTCAGCTTCTCTGAGCAAGTTGGGCCAGGCCTCCCCACCCTCACAGGGAAGAATTTCTTCCTAACATCTAATCTAAATCTCTTCTCTTTTAGTTTAAAACTGTTCCCCCTTGTCCTATCACTCCCTGTCCTCCATGACCACCCACCTCCACGGACGTCCCGGAGCCCCAGCTGGCTGCAGGTGGGGCTCAGAGCTCAGACCCCCCTGGGTTCAGAGGGGCTGGGTCAGCCCTGCCAGGAGCAGCCCCCGGGCAGGAGCTCTGGGTGGTCTGTGCCGAGGAAAGTCGCTCGTGCCTCACGAAGCCACGGCCAGACAAGTCTGCTCCAGCCCTGGCCAGGAGCCAGCTCGTAGCTCCGGGGTCTGAAAATCCAACCTCAAGTGATGAGTAAGGGCGGCTGTGAAACTTCCGACACTCATTAGCCCTGAGCTCAGCCCAGTAATTTGTTTTACAGGCCAATTAACGATGCCCAAGCCAGCCGGGATGTGGGAGCAGCCGCCGGCTTCTCCCGGCTCCGCGTCCGCTCACCTCCCTGCGGTGGATCGCCTCCTTCAGCAGCCCCACCACGTCCTCTCCCTCACAGCCCGTGGCCTTGAAGCCCTTTGTCCACTTCAGGAGGATTCCCTGTTGTGGGAGAAGCCCCTCAGTGAGTGCCCCAGGAGTGCCAGGGGAGTCACGGCCGGGGCCGGGCAGGGACGGTGCCGGGAAGGTGGGGGTTACCTCATCCAGGTTGTTCTGCTGGCAGGGGAAGGAGAAGGTGAACCCCAGCGGGAGCGACACCCCCTTCATTCCCATGTATTCCAGGAAGTCGGAGATGCAGTGGACGATGTGGTCAAAGAGCTGGAGGAGCAAAGCCAAAGGGAGAAGTTACCACCACAGCCCCGCCCAACCTGCTGGAGATTCCAACCCATTCCGAGCACGTTGGAATGTTCAGATCCATTCCCAGGACTTTGAACGGAGCAGGACACTGCTCAGCTGCACTGTGGGAGGTGAGCAATCCCAAAAAAGACCATTTTTCACCCTCTTCCCCACCATATCCTTCCACCATATCCCTGCAAAACCCCATCTCACAGGCCCCAGGAGCGACAAGGGCCAGCAGGGAGGTACCAACTTCCCTGGGGTGGCACAGGAATCTGGTCCCTCTGCAAGGGATCCCTAGAGCCCGTCTGCTGGAGATACTCCCAGTCCCCGAGCGCTGCCCGCAGTGGTTTGCAAAACTCTTTCCAAATAAGACTCTGGAGGCGTCTCTCCCTGCTTGTGTTGTGGTTTCCCTATCTGGGAAACGGGGTGATGCTTATCTGCCCTTGTGGAGTGTGTGGGATTCAGGGAGGTTCAGTCATGTCTGGGAATAACACCATTTCTAACCTAAAAACCAGTCTGCAGCTTCCCAAACTCCAGAGCCTCAGGCAGAACTCGCTAAGGGCAGGACAGCACCAGCCTTTTGCTCCCTGGAAAGGCAAAACCAGCTCCATGCTGAGGCCTGTTCCAGCCACCCCAGGGAAGACACCCCTTTTCCCTCTCCAGCTGCCCATCCTGACCTCCTCTCCCGTGCCCTGCATGATCTCCACGGGGATGGAGTAGATCTTGTTGTGCATCTCCACGCCGCGCCGCATCCCGTTCCTGACGCGCACCAGCAGCACGCGGAAGTTGGTTCCTCCCAGGTCCAGGGCAAGGAAATCTCCTTTCTCTGCAACCCAAGAGAGGATCATTAGGAGGGATCCTGGCCTGGAGCACCCGGAATGTGGCACAGAACAGCCCAAAATCTGCCCTCTTCCTGGGAGAGGGCTGGAAACCCAGACTGGGAGCAGAGACCAGGGGGCGCAGGTTGGAACAGAGGGTGCAGGTAGGAAGGTGGAGGAGAGGTTTGCTCCTGACTTGGGGCAGTGATGAGGATTAGAATCATAAACCCATGGAATAATTTGAGTTGGAAGGGCCCACAAGGATCCTTGAAGTCCATCTCCTGCCCCCACACAGGACCTGCACAGGCTACAAGCCAAGGTCAGGCACTCGCCCGAGCCACAGGCAGAACCAGGAGCACGACCCAGGATGAGGGTGGGGAGATTCCTGCTGTGGGGAAAACCACAGCCAGAGCCAGGCTTTGTGTGCAGTCAGGTGCAGAACGTCCTGCAGGCTCCCTGCTCTGCCCAGGATCATCCTGGAGGTTTGTGCCACTCCCACCACAAAGAGGGAACTGCCCACGGCAAAGGATCCAGCCCTTCCTGAGGATATCAGGAGCAGCAATGCTGGCTCTGAGCTGGACACACGTGGGCTCACACACAGGACACATGCAGGATAGTCACCTGTCCCGTCTGGAGTTGAGCACACGTAGGTGGGCAGCATTTTCACCGTCGCCTCCTCGTGCGTCTCCTTGCCCAGCCCTTTCTCCATCTCTATCCTCATCCTCTCCTTCACCTCCA